CATTTTAAATTAGTATTATAAAAGCTCTATCATTGTGTTCTAATAGCTGAAACAAATTCCTGTGAATTTTCATTTGTTGAATGAACTGTTTATCAAATACAGAATACATATTTGTTAGTACAATATTCTTTTCAAAATGTGGATGCAATGTTTTGCTTTTTATGTATTTGATAACTTTGAACTAAACAGATTTTCTATTAGTTTCAGATCATGATCAAAATTTGGCACCCAGTTCATAGGAGTGCTTATATTGATTTTCTGACGTCTTGTTTTCTGGTAGGTTTGCAAATGTGCATCAGACTGTGCAAAAAATCTCTCCATGAGTTGGTTTTGAAACCCAGTCTAGTATTCGCATGGAATTTGGGAATTACAAGATAAATGATTTGCTTCATTGAACACATACAACAATGCATATTTACACTGAGATCAGTGACCTTTGAATGTGCATCACCAGTGATCAATCAAGTAGAAACAGCCAAAATATTTTATTAGATTTTCTAAATTTTTGCATGATATTTTCATACAGGACATCTGTTGTTCATACTCAGGGAAGACTTTATACTGATAAATAAGGTGCCCAAGAGTGATGAAGTTTGGAATAGAATTAGTAAAGTTATTGTGCACACCATAACGATTATTAACGGCGCCGACAACAACGACAACACCGGACAGAAATTTTTCCCTTAATATACTTTTCCCTTCCATCTTTGATGATACAGGACTCGATAAAAATACACTCTAATATATAAAAATTGCACACCAAATTTTAGATGGAAAAATGTATGATTAACTGTCTTATAAACACTGATTTATTCATTAAACCAAATGTACCATGTATTCTCATTTTAGTATTATTCCCCTTCTTCATTTCGCAACCTGGCACTGGGCTTATGACAAGTAATTCAAATCCAAAAGCAAACTGACAAAAAACCAAAAATCAAACCGCCATCTCAAGTTGAAACTCACTGGGTGTTTTACTTTATCATGCTGCTTTCTCTTTTTCTGTGATTCTTCCCATTCTTGCTTAGCCTGCTCTCGCTTAGCATCTGACATTTGCTTCAATTTCTCTCGTCTCTTGATTTCCTTCTCCATCTCGTATTTCTTAAAATCGGTTTTCCTCCTCCTGTCCATTTCATCTAAATCTTTAGTAGCCTGTGAAAAAACAAACAGTACAGTGTTTAAGGGGTGATCTCATATTCAAACACCTGGGTCAAACCTGGGTTAACCTGGGTTAACCCAACCTGCCCTATTCAGACCTACTAGACCTACAATATGCAAATTAGCAGTAGGTTTGAACCTAACCTCCGGATTAACTGCCCATTAACGCCCCCACTGAAAACAAACAACAGAGAACAAAGAAGACAGACCTAGGGAAACCTAGGTTTTTCTTACAATACTGTTTCAGCCTAGTTTCAGTAGAAAAAAATAAGATGTATACTATGGAGCCCAATGTTCATACTGAGTGTTATACTTTGAAGTGTTAAGAATTACAGCAGCAATTTTTTTTTTCTTTGCAAGTCTTATACATGTAAATGCTAATAAAAACAAACTTGCATTTGTTTCACAAATCTATTTACATCATGTCATTTATAAGTGTGATGAAAATTATATTCATTTATTTCAGTGATTGGTAATAATAATCAGTTTCCCACAACTTACATTTGGTACAAGTCAATACAATTGTTATTGTTATTCAATTTATCTGGAATTAATTACAGACGTGATGGTTTGTTATATTTTGTCATTAAATGTGAAACATGTGATATCATAAACCCTCTCTATTGTGATATACATGGTAAATTAATGTTTGAAACAGAACAGGGAAAGAATGCACTAGAATTTTAATGAGCAGCTTCTTAGGATAAATTACTTATGTTATATATATATTTGGCATAGTCAGTAAAATATGTTTATCCACGGAGCGAACTGGTACATTTTGTCCGCAACAAGTACGGTTAGTTTTGTGTCCATGTCAGTTCATAAATTCATAGAACACATTTTTTAAAGTCTGTGAGACTGCGAGTTATCAAAATATGATGAAAGTATTAAATCGATAATGGCAACATTGTTTTCTACGAAGGCATCTGAAAACCACAGTCCCTCTATCACTGTGTCGGGCTAATGCTACGACTCCGGCGGTACGACCACCATAACATTGTCAGCTGACGGCATTGCGGGGAAATTACGGGTATTTAGCACTCTATGAATAAGGTATTTTCAGAGGTCAGGGTTCGTTTTTTATGAGCAGTCTCGCCTGCAGATGAATAGTCGTAAATAATCAGCGCGAGTCCATTTAATTTAATTTTCTGTTTTGATACTTCGTGTCACTGGAAATTGAACAAGAAAAACTGCAAATAACCGATGTGCAGCAAATCGAAATAATTTTCATGGCGTACGCTGCATTTGTTTTTTCGGATTTTGCGATGCCGTACTCCTGAAAGAACTGTAAGTTTGAAAATTGAACGCGCAACAGTAGTAAAGGCTTGAAAACAGTAGCGTAAGTCTCAAGTGCGA